ATCTCACACTGGAGAAATTTACCGCATTTAATCCATCCCCTTGAGGAGCAGTGGGCTGCCATTGTGTGGCGCCCGGGGAACAGTGTGGGGTTAAGGGTCTTGCTCAGGGACCCAGAGTGGAGGCTGTGGGAATCGAAATCCGGGTACTTGCGACCCTCTCAGAGCACAAGCGCACTGCTTTCACCACTAGGCAAACACTCCCCATCAATGAAGAAACAATCTCAGAAATAACAGCTCAACAGGCGTTAGCAAAGCGATCAGTGATGCTGCCGTCTCTTAAGATGTGTAGAGGGAGCGCTGCCAGAGCTGTAAAAGTAAAACGCAAGATAAAATGCAGCATGATCCATCAGACTGCAAGCGTTTTGATGTTTTCAATTAAGGCTGAACTATTTTGCTAAAAATAAAAATTGTAGGGCTGAAGCATCTAAGCGATTGCTGAAATAATCAACTAATTTCTTACGCTGACTAACAGTAAACAGATTGTTAAACATGCAGTTTGATGAAAGACTAACCTACTTACAGGAAAAAAACTCATAGTAAAATAAGTGTCTAATTTAATTTTGTCATTTACAAAACACTTGAAACGCACAATACGGATTTTTTCTAAGTTCCAAATATTTAATTAGAGATATCAATTTACTAAAAGTATCTCCTTTTAGAAAAGAATTGATAATCAGATTTATAATCTTGATATTTTTAACCATTAATGTGGTTTTATTTTCATTTTCCGCTGCTCTAACCAGCAGCATGCCAATGTTTCACTCCAGGTTTTCCCTTTTTTTTCAGGACCTTAAAGTTTTCTTGCACAGTTTTGTTATGGCAGCACTTAAATGTTACGTGAAGAACTTCTTACTTTGACTCTCATGCATCTAACTGCAACTCTCTCTTCCGTGTGGCAGCAAACCCACTTTAAGCGCATTACTGCAATCTAAAGGGCCGCATGGAGAAAGTCAGTGTCTTACTCTTTATTAATGAAATCTAACCGAAGCCTCTGTTGTTTTAAACCAATTATATTACAAATATTAACTGATCAGTCTTATATCTTTTAGTAAACCACATGGAAGTGAGTTAAAATCAGATCCGAACTGGGCCGTTCAGACTGTCGTGAAAAAGGCTGACATGAGTCACATTTGGGCTAAAAGATTGTATGTGGCTCCCATTTGTCTGCTGTGTGCACATAGCCAATGACCGTGACCGGAATAACCCAGATGCTAGAGGTTACCCCATCAGAGAAGGTCCTTTCTTTCCTCTTCCTGCATCTTTTCCACATAGTAATCATACCTGCCATCTATGAAGTTACACACTGTTGCTTCCTTTGGGATGAACAAAATAAATCCACTCTGCTCTGCTAAACTCTCCATGATGACAGCAGCCATTAAAACATGTAAAATCCTTATTTTAATCAGTGGTAAATATTAGGGATGCTCTGATATAGAAGCCTGGGCCAATAGACATCCAATATTATTACTATTGTTGAGGCCGATTTAATGATATCCTACTTTTTCACATGCTTTGGACACTGTGACAGACTGGGCACAGTGCAGACATGGCTTCTCTGGGTCAGTAAAACATCCACAATCCTGAGCTGGTCACAATCACATGACCAAACAAACCCCACATGACTGATTCCCTCCTCAGGAAGTACAAGGACAGAAATGCAGGTTTGTAACACTGGCCCAGTTTTACTTATCAAACTGATACGGATATTAATGTTGATATATGATGATGTATTCCAATCAGAATGGAACCAGAAACCATATTTGCACATTTAAAACTTTCTCTTTCCCAAAAGTATTTTAACATCTCATATGGAATCTGAGTAGATCAGAGTCAATGTGTAATGAATCAACATCTTTTAGGAGCATCAAAAGATCCTGCAGCGCCTAGAGCAGCTGAAGCAGCGCCTCATGAGCTTCTGAGCATCTGAGGCGCATGACGCTATTCACAGGCAGCAGCTGATGGATTTGCTTATCAGCCAATTAGAGAAGCTGATCTGGAAGCTGGCAGGGAGACAGACACAGCGCTGCTGATGTAGAGCGCTATGATCACTCCCCCCGAAACAGTTTATTAACACCTAAATTAACTTAAAATGTCAAAACCCGCTGGCAAAATATGTCCGCCTATGTATGTGGGGGTCTGAGCGGCTCCGATATTGAAATATTTGAAGGCAGGATGGTAATCTGGATGAACTGACTGAACAGACGATGTTTTCAGATGGACTATCTCACTTTAAAATATATTCAAACTAATTTTTACCCACTGATCACTGCAAATATAGCAAAGCCGCTCTCTGCCATTGAACACAGGAGCAGCAGAAGCATCTGGACACACTTGACTGGACGTCTGACCTTAATGTGGAAAAGCATAAGAGAGGAAGCAGCAGAAGCTTTTTTTGCTGCTCAAAGTGCTTGCGTTCTGAATGTAGCATTGCTGGTCCTGTAGCTAAGCCCTTTTCCCACCATCATCCAGTTAAGCACAGTGTGAGGTCAGTATTTTTCCCCATTTCTATGGAATATCTCTGGCAGCAAGTCATCGACAAACATCTCCTATTTCTTTCTCCTTACCTGCTCTGTGAGCGTTCTATCAACCTTTTAGCCAAGGAGACGTGATACTGAAATGTGGGAAAATGTTGTGGAGCTTCAATGGGTGAGCTGTGGTTCCAGTGGGAAACCATCACTGAGGAGTCTCTTTAACAACATCCTCACAGCCAAACAAACTGTAACGGAGAAGAATATTTATATGGGAAACAGAAAAGTGAGGCTGCTGCATTCCTGCCCTCTTTCCCAGCTATCAGTTTCTCCACCACTGCCTACTTGTGTTTACACTGTTCTATAAACATTTCCTCATTCTAAGAAGCTAAACGTTATTCAGCATATAAATGTGGTGGGAAATAATTATTTAATCTATTAAATCCTCTTATTTCTAAATGGAGCCGTTAGTGGTTTCATAAAGAGAACCTGATTAGGTCCAGCAGGGCTTGGTAAAGAAGAGAAGGTTCTTTTGCAGCCTTCAGATCAGCTCTATGACTGTCAAACAGTGCCTGGAACAGGTTTCCATGCTGGAGAAGCTTCCTCCAGACACAAAAAGACATGCAAAGCAACAAATAGAGCAGTATAAACGCACTGCCGCCAGAATCCTACGTCTCTGTCTGGCAGCCTGGTGGAGAAATCTGGGTTTCTAGAAGGATATATCTTTGCCGTTTTCATTCTCCACCTCAACATCTTCAATGGTTTCAAAGTACTGACTCCACAGCAAGGGCGTGAAATCTCTCTTCCGTCCAGGTCTGTGTAAAACAGAAAGCAAACACATTTAAAGAGCGCCTCCATCTGGCAAATTATCACAGTGCAGCCAAACTAACAGGGTGAGAGCATCAAAAACAAATCATCTGCAAGATTAAAAAACAAAAAAAATCTAACATGAGTTTGAAATAGGCACTGAAAAGGACAAAACAAAGAGAAAAATAGAAATAATAATGAGGAGCTGTTAGAAGAGGAGATAAAGATCCTAAGAAGAGCAGATCCAAAGTCTGGATAGAAGTTCCTAAACTAAGATCACTAATAATAAGAAGAACAAATAATTATATGACACAAAAGCAAGATATGAATAATAATTATTCAAACAAATGTTATAAGAGTTAAAATTAGACAAAACTAATTTAAATAACAAACTAAACACCAAAGAATTATCAAAAACTTAAAGCATCCTGCTTTTGAAATAAACACTCTAACCTGTGCCACTGATTCTTCTAAATGGTCGGATGGTCAACCAAACAAACCCATTCAGAGACACACTGCACTGATGCAAAGTCATACGCCAAATCCTGAATCCTTAAAAATATATCAATCGAAGCTTATAGTTTGATCAAAAGTCATGCCACGTTGCTTTGAGTTCAGTGAATAGAGAAACGAGAAGCAGCTGGAGTGTTTAATCTATGAAACTATCTCACATGTTCTGGTAAACTAAACATTGGTGACTCCTTATTTGTTTAACAGTTTGTTAACGACTGTAACATCTGACCCCGGTATTAGCATGATTTGAAATATATTTAATTATTTTCAGGTCAATAATTGACACTTGCTGATGAGAGCGGCAGATCCGTCTCTGAATGGGTGATATGACCCAGAGCGCTGCTTTAAATCCATCTGAGCTCCCCTTAAACACCAGAGCTAACTAAGCTCACAGCTGTTGGTAGTAAACAAGTCTAAACTAGTCTCCCTCTAGTCCAAAACACAGAGGGAGACTGGAGTCTGTGAAGTGCTTCCAGTGGCCTTCAGGGGCACTAAACTGGGAATTTACAGGTCTAGCACCCCTAATGGTTAACAGCGACACACTGTTTCCTAAAGGTCCCTTATTATATGTCCAAAATTTACATCATAAACACTGTAACAGTCACATGTGACCTGAAGCCTGTGTACAAGATTCACAGGGGGAAATAAAATCCTTTCACCCCCGTAAATGGCTTTATGCACCTCTTGGTTAATGTGTGCTCAAAATGCTGTTTGAAAATTGTTCCCCTTATGACATCGTCAAGGGAAAGAAGCTGTCCAGTGCGCTCTTTAGCAGCCAATCAGTCAAGGTACAGCCTTTATGTAATGTATTACTTTATGCTCTTAGAATAGCGTGACAAACTCGGACTGGTTGCCATGGTTGCGGCCAAAACAGCTGGTCCAGAGGAGGGCTGAATAAAGAGATTGTTGGTAAATGCTGATCCGAGAAGAATTTTCCCACACAAACATCAAAAACATGCTCTGGGGGGCTCCTTGTTAATATTTTAATATTATCTTCAAATGTAGAATAATATAGGACCTTTATAAAATATAACATGCATTCAAGACATTTATTGGTCTTGGAGGTAAAGTTCGTTGAATAGCTCTAAACTGGACATTTCTGAAGTAGTCGTCTTATTTAGTTTTGGGATAAAGTTAAATAATTTTAGCCTGGGAAAAAAAAAAATCCACTGTATGTATGAATGAACAGATGAATGATTGACCCGATGGATAAGAGGTGAAAACAAAAATAAGTGTTGGATGGATCCAGAAAAAGATGCATCAGTGTTTTGATTACGGAGCAAAGAAACAACTAATGAATAAAAAAAATAAAAATGAAAGAATAACAGAATGAGACAAGTTGATAAATGAGATAATTAGTTTTCTGTTTAATTTTTTTCTGGAAAAAAAAAACATCAAATAATTTTTGAAACCGGATCAATTTCCTATATATATTTATTTTTAACCAACCTCTTTAAAGTGAATGTTTTTAAATGTCCACTCTGTCAGGATGGCAGAGTGAGCTGGTTGGGTGCAAACATGGCTGCTATGTAGACAGAGCAGATATAAAAGAAGAGAAAGCCCGTAAAAGGCAACAAAAAGCTTTAAACAACCCATCAATAAATCCACAAAAGATGCTTTTAGATTTAACAGGTCTATAATTACAAAAATATCATTTCATCGATGAGCTTCACGGATCGTGTTCTACAATCAGCAGCAGCTAACTTAACCCTGCTAACGTCCTCAGCCCCGGTGCGACAGAGACCGTTTTAGTTTTAATTATCTGTTAACATAATGGGGAGACATAAAGCTCAGGATCCAGTCTAAAAATCCAGCTGACTCACCCCATTTTCATTTTAGAGCCGCCGGACTGAAAACCTGCCATGGGGGGTCTGGATGCTAGCAGGTTCAAATGCAGCTGCTTCTCCATGCTGCCAGAAAAAGAGATGGCCTCTATCAGAAGATGTTTGGGCCGACCTTCCCTTCCTCTGTTCCCACACAGCAGCACCGACTTCAGAGACTCATCACAAGATGCGCTGTTTAGTGTTTTTTCAGCTAACAGCTAGCCTGCTTCTTCTCTGTGCGTCTCCGCGTCTTCTTTGGTTCTTTCCCCTCATTGATGAGTAAACTGATGGGAGCGTTACTGCCCCCTACTGATGATAAGATAAAATACAGTTGTTCCATTTAAAGCCTTTCTATGGTTGCCATAACGCGGATGACTGAGGATTTACACAGGCAAAATACTGTTGGAAATGAAAGAAAATAATAACAACAATAATAATATACTTCCCATGGATTAAAAAGTCACAATAAAATATTTAAAGAGGTGTAAAATAGTAATATCAGCAAAGCAGACTTAAAACACTAAGTACAGCTCAACAATCCTTCATGATTAATCAAAAAACCTCTTTAATAACATAAGGATATATTTAATTATAAATAAATTATACATGAGAAAAGATAGTATAAAGAGAATAATAATAATTAGAAGAGAAGTAAACCAAAAAAATAGAGAAAATGTCATTTATATGCATTTGATTCATTATTTTGGGCTACATTAGTAAAAACAGTAAATACTAAAGATCTTTAATTAAAATTTAAGGTGATGCAGTTTGTCATTTTAGATTTTATTTACTGTATTTTCCTTGCTTAATTTAATCTTCTGTTGTTTATGAATAAATAGAATAACAGATTAAACTGGATCTTCATAAAATCTTAAACATATGGGATGTTCGAGGAGAGAGAGAAAATCATGCTTTATTTTAATACATATAGAATCATGTAAAATAAAAAAAATAAAGACATACAAAAATGTCTTATGAAGAACATACAGTTCCTCTTAGAGATACTTACATATTTAAAACATTTGTACTTTTTGGCATGTTTTAACCCACACTTGTTATACAAGGACTTTGGGGTAAACCACCAACACAAAGTAGTGGGGTCCATTTATATTTAACTAATTTTACACTGACGCACCCGACTAAGAATCCCATTCAAAAATATTTTTGAAATCAGTCATCCAGCTAATAAAATTTCAACTGTAAGCCATTGGATCTCAGCTTGGGTTTGTTAGACAGCTTTAGTGAAAGAACCCATTGGGCAGATCAGGAAACGTCTGGATGGGTGTTTTTCTAAGCAGGAGCTGAAGAGTTCCGCGGCTATAAGTAGATTCATTTACAGTCTGCTGAAAACATGTGGAAGAAGACGTTGGCAATCAAGATAAAATCATAATAAATCATTTTTGGCATTCATTCAAAACTGTGTTTGTTTTGGAATATTAACTTCTTATGGTACCCTGACAGCACATTGTGGTGGAGGCTTCATGCCGTGGTGATGCTTCGCTTAAGAAAGGAAAGAAGCTGGTTTTTGGGAACATATATATAAATAGAGTTAAATAATAACAAGATGCATATCAACAAAATACACAAAGCACACACCCAGAGCTACATAGATTAAAAAAAAAAATCCACAAAAATCTAAATGAAAAAATATGGAGTTACCATAGCCCAGTCAAAATAGAGATCTAAATCCAAAGAGGACAAAAGAAAATATTGTTTTCAGATCCTCTTCATCAATGGGGGTAAGCTTTGTCATACCATCAAATACTATTGTTTAATAAAATAATGACACAGGAAGGCAGAATATAAATACACACCACACTTTTAGACTTAGATTTAGACTTAGACTTAGACTTAGACTTGACTTTATTAATCCCTTGGGATTACTCCCTTCGGGAAATTGTATTTCCAGTAGCAGGAAAAATTGCACATATAAGAAAAAAAGGGGATGTTTAGACACAGTGTATACAATAGAAAAATAGAATAAAAAAATCAATTAAATAAGGTGTAGGAAGATGTATTGGGGGATGAGGATAGACAAATAAACACAGAGGGCTATAGCAAAAAAACAATGACTTAAATTAACAGTTATGTAGTGTATGTACGAGCTTTATTTAGAAAAAAAATAATTAAAATAATATATAGTAAGTTTCTTTTCACAATTATGCACCGTTCTGTGTTGGTCATCACATAATATCCAAAGACAATAAACAGATTTTTTGGGTTCTAACATATGGAAGATGCTTTATTCAGCTTGTTGGTCCAATATTGGCCACAAGATGGCGGCATAACGTTGTCTTTTTAAAACAACAAACGTCACAATCTTTACCTGCATTATTACCAAACATTTTATATTCACACTGGTTCCTGGTTCAAACTTTGGGCTTTGAATTCAGTATTTAAAAGAGAATTAATTGATTAGTTTGACTCGAATCTCCTCAGAGCTTTTCGCTGATTAGATTTAAAGCCTAAAATTTAATCTTTTCCCAAGGATACGACAGACAGGCTATATGGTTATTCATATTTCAGTGAATATGCAGTTAGATTATGTGTTTTCTGTCAAATAATAATATATTGATAAAAGTGACACATTTTTAAAAGGGTTGAAATTATGAAGAAAGCCTGGTAGAGTCACTGGTATATATAATATGGATTACATTTTATTCCATTATTGTTGAGAGCAAACAGCCTGTTTAGCAAATGGAAATTTGAAAATGTAATACAAAAACCATTTTCATCAAAACATGTTTTGAGACCAACTGCTGTTTGCTCAGATTTTTATTTTTTATAATTGCATTTTTTTTCTCCATTTTTGTTTCTATATATTTTTTTCCCCACATGTTCTTTTCTCTTTTTATTTCTATCGTTTGACTGAGTTTTTCAAATTATGCTCCACAAATCACATTATCTTCTTTTCAAGCAATACAATTAAATATGTTAAACTCAACCTGCAAAAGGAAAATTAGGTAAATACATTTTGAAAAAGAATAAAATCAGAAATGTAAAAAAAAAAAAAAAAACGAAAAAGAAAAGAAAAAAGGGAAAATTCCATTCAAGTTTTAATATAAAACATTTTCTTTGGATGAAAAAATAATGGAACACCTTTTTTCTCGCAATTCGGAGTTTAATCTCAGAATTCTAAATTTAATCTCAGAATTCTGACTTTTTTCTTCACAATTCTGAGTTTATTCTCAGAAGGCTAACTTTAATCTCAGAATTCTGACTTTTTTCTCACAATTCTGAGTTTAATCTCAGAAGTCTGACTTTAATCTCAGAATTCTGATTTTTTTCCCCTCAGAATTCTGACTTTAATCTCAGATTCGAAATTCTGAGATTAAACCCAGAATTCTGAAACTAAAGTTGGGATTCTGAGGAAAAAAGTCAAAATTCAGAGATTCAATAAATTTAATTCTGGCTTCCTTAAGTAGTAATATTGGAATGTGTTCATGTTAACAGTGAGAGGTAATGAAATAAATGTTCAGAAAATTCAAACTCTTTGCAGATGACATTGTTTTAGTTTATATAACTTTAAATGGTGAGTAAATGTTTTGGGTAAGTATGATGACTATTTTAATTGAACTGAAAGTTAAATGGAGAAGTAGAACTTGAGAAACAAACTTATTTCTGATAACTAGTGACTTTAGGTGGAATCATTTAAATATTCTGATGTTACCGACTGGCTGAAAGTGTTTGAGTTCTGGTTAGTTATTCAGGTTTAAAGTGTAGCAGCTTCTGTTCCTGACAAGGCAACAATTCAAGCTACCATTTAGGACAATACGTTGCATTTTTCTAATATTCTCTCCATCTGGATGTGACCAAGAAAAAAAAAAAACAATTTTATCAAGCTTTTACATGGACAGGAAATCGGATTAAATAAATCAGTTAAAAACTCAGTTGGATTTTTTAATCAGGATCAAAATGAGGACTTGTGAGTTCAGTGTTAAATTCAGGCTGTTTATTTTGCTCCAGCAAATATTCCACTTATTGGGCCCTTTCCACTGTTTTAGATGTCATTTCTTCTTGTCACTAAGGTGACCCTTCCATCTTATTTCCTCCTTATTTACCATTATTAGATAAATTCTTTTTATTTAATTTTTATTCTCTTTAATTATTTGGATTCATTAATTATTCACTGCATATTTCTGTCACTGCAGTGTCATTTTCTTTTCTTTTTTCCAACTCCTGCACTTTGAATTGTCTTGCTACCAAAACATTCTTGTTAAATAAACTTTCTTTGTTTTACTGCGATAAAATGACATCACTGTTAACTTGCTAATAACCCTGATTTAAGGTCTGAGATATCGTCACTGACAATAGAAGTAAACTCTTCCCTAAAAGCAAATCTCTTTTCAGAGCCAAGATCAAGAGCCTCCTGCAAGGAAGAACATTATTCACTAACTAATGCACAGAAATACAGATGCAGATTTTAAGCCATTCCTCTTTCTAATATATGTGATAACATCAAAATCACTCAGCTCTGATATTACATTAAGCCTCTTTGTATGTGATGAATTTTATATCAAACCTTTATTCTTATATTTTTTTGTTTTTTACTTTCTTTCTACTTTTATGTTCTTATGTTTTACTTTTTATAATCAGCATTTATCATTTGTATGTTTATATTTTCTTTGTATTTCTAAAAGTAAACAATAACAGTATTTTATTTAAAAAAAAACTCACATCAGTCGAGTAGAACTGTATAGGGAGGACGATAAACAGCATCACGCTGCATTCATTCTATTTAAAACTTCATTACAGCTCTAACAGATTTTCAATCAGAGACTTGAACCTTCACCCAGTTAGATCAAGGGATACTAAATCCTCCTGAAAATGTATATATTGGAGCTATAACCATCAATTTGAATATTTAGAGCATTGATCCATTTACATACATGCAGCTGCCTGACAGAAAAATGCATCTTTAACAGATATGAAGTGTTAAAGAATCCTAGCTGCCAGATCTGCTCTCATCAGCTTGATGGATTGAATGTTCATTAATGTTTTCTTGGAGTTTAAAGAGATATTTTGTTGTTGTTTCAGAATGTGGCTCTTAATAAATACCAGTATACAGCATAAAGGCTGCTTTACTGAAGATGTGAAACTCTCAGAAGTTGTTAGGGTGTTTGGGGGAAATGAAGCTCCATGGCAGGAGGTCCAGGGTTGCGTAATGGAAACAGGCTTTCAGTAAACAAGATTCTGGAACAGGTAGTCTCATCAATATCACTGAAAGGAGAAGCAAAGTGATCTGGAACAACAGATTCATCTGTGACGTTCAGCCCAGACAGTTCTTTGAAAATGTGCCTGTTGGTCCAGGATTCTGTGGCAGGAATCCCGACAGACTCCGCCCCCAGATCACATTTCCCCTGGAGTGGCTGTCAGTGGGTTCGGAATGGAATCCAAATCCTTATTACAGACGAAGCTCCTGGCGACTGGACCCGACCCGACCCAGCAGTACGAAGAACAAAGCC